TGTTAAGATAAACAGGGGCAGAGATGTTTCTTGAGGACACAAAAGGCTCTTGAGATAAAGCTCATGTGGACTGATCCTGCAATACATCTGGATCATTTCATTCTCTCATCACTCCAACCTTGGGATTTTCCATCAGTCCAGTTGCTTTTCTCAACCTTTTATTTGCTCTTGAGGTTTCAGTGTTGCTGTTTGGCATTCAGGCATCTTCTCTTCTTTGACCATCATGGGCTAGAAGCGTTTCTGCTGCATGTGGAAGGTCTACGGAAAAGGTAGACTGGATGGATGTGAGTGAAGGCAGTCCCTTTGTGGAGTGAGGTTTCACATCTGAAAGTCAGGCTAAATTAGGCGTGAAGACCACATGGATGAATCTGTGAACTCCAAACTCATAACCCCTTTGTGAAACATCCATGAATCTGGCCATCCCAGGCAACAGTGGCACTTGAAATGTTCAGAAGTGCAGGAGAAGGAAGGAAGGTGCAGGTTGGTCCCAAATAAGACCATCCCCTTTGTAAGGCACTTGTCAGATGCTGAAGGATTCCCTGGGATTTGCTACCTAATGGTGGTCACAGAAGGATCATCAGCAGCAAAACTCCTGTCTTGTTTCTCCTTATCTCCTTGTGATTTACCATCACACGTAAAAGAAGCAAAGCTGGTGCCTCCCTCCAACTTCTTCAGATGATGTTGCTGTGGAGGAAGAATGACAGCAAAGCTCCTGCTTGTAGCAGGGTAACTCTAAAACCAACCATTTCCCTCCTCTGGTCCTGCCCCTCTTCCTCTTGTCCGTCCCAGGCCAGTACCCCGCAGGTTACTGTGGAGTGGGGTGGCTCAGGAGTGGGATGTTACTGGGGAAGGGCAGGTATCCGTAGGCAGAAAGTCAGAGGCTCCTAAGTTGCTGCAGATTGCCAGCAAGATCTTGAAAGCTTTTTATTTCATGGTTTTGGGTTTTTTTTTTCATTAAACTTTGATGTAAATGGGTCTGGGGCAGCGGAGAGCCAGCTGCTGGCTTTCTGGATTCCCACGGGCAGGTGGAAGAGGTTGAAGGTAGGGCAGACACCTTCATTACGAAGGTAAAGCACAAAAAGACTGCACATGGGCACCAAGCCTACTCCCTTCTGCGGTCTGCAGCGATTTCGGTAGATGACAGATTTCCCTTGGCGTATGCTCGCTGGCCATGTGGTAGTCACCTAAGCTCCCCACGCATCACCTTCCCTTCTCCAAGAGCTGCTTTCCCCAAAACATCTGAAAATGAGTATGCACATCACAGCGTAACTGATCCCTAGGGGACTGGCCCGGAGAGCGGATCAGTCCTGTACACCCCTTCTTTTCCAGAGCTATTGGACGTTCTTGTTAGAGTGTGCACGTTTATGATTTAAACTTGACATACGCATACATGCATTTGAAGTCCCGTGAGCTTCTCAGGTTCTGCTCCAAGCTTCCCACCGTGTAAACCGCAGAGTGTTTACCTCCAAAACTGCAAGTGACTCCTATTAGTGATCCTTCGTGAGACCATGGGCTCCTTGTTCTTTGCTTTTCCCACACCCCTCACTTCTAGAACCAGCGGTGCTGACATGTTGGTTTGTTGCGTTTCCCTCCATCCACCTGTGAGTAGATATCAAAATAAAATCGATGTAGGAGAGAGATCGAATGCGATTTTGCTGCCCACTGAGAAGTTTCAAACCTGCTTATAAAAACCATGAGCACCTGGGCTTGGTGGTGTCTTCTGGCCCAAGCAGGAGCCAAAACCATCCTCCTTGTGTAGGTCTTCTTGTAGACCCATTGTGGAGCGGAGGGTGGTCTTCTCTCTTGCACTGCATCTCCCTTTGGCTCTTTTCAAGAATTTCAGCTTCATGGAGAGCGTGTCCACTGAAAAATGGAAAAGCTGCATTTCAGATCCATGTAGTCCTCAGCGAGCCAGCTCTGTTGAAGGCACTTCGATGGCTGTCCTGCATGACCCATGGAGCAGCCTCTGGAAGAACCCAAGAACCATGTCGTCAAGGCACTCACCATGCCCTTGGGACTCTGGCTCGTCCCCACCCGCCCAGCACGCTTGGTCTTCTCCAGCTGATCCACCCTTCTTGCAAGTTGCTGATATTTCCTTTTACATCAGCTTGCTGCACAAAAAGTTGGCTTTTCTCCCTTCCAAATTTAGCTCTGTTTAGGCACTACAATAGCCAAGAGTAGGGATCGGTGACTGTTTTTTTCCAAAACATTGTCTCGTGACTAGGATTAAGGAAGGGAACTGCTCAGCTGAAGAAAGGAGATGCTTGATTTTCCTAATGGGGACATGAAGTTCTCCTCTATCCAGTCACTGGCTGTGTCCAGGAGTGCTCCTGGAGCCTTATTCCCATGTCATTAATCCATCTCTCACACCCATGCTGTCTGCTGCTGGTAGGCAGAGGTCTTCTGAGGAAGCACAGGGATGCTCTGCAAGGAGGACACGCAGCAATGCACCCCTGCACGTATGGCTTCTCATTGGAAAGAGTAGAACAGCAGCTCCTGAGACGCTAATGAGGGCTCCACATTGAGGATATCAGTGCTTTAGGTCCTTGTATTCTGCAGAGATAGTTTAACTTTTGCAGGGTAATTGTATTTGCAAGTGCCTGCAGTGCAGGTTAAATTCAAATACCCCACAGCTGTAGCCTGCTGTGCTAGTACAACGTTTGGAAATGGCCTCGCTGAGTACTGTACTATTCTTAGCCTGATTTCCTAAACTAGCACAACTGATGGGAGTGGGCTGTGTGTGTCTGCTTCCTCCCTTCCTTTTCACATTCAATCAGGTACCCATTGGCCAATTTTAAGCAAATTTTCAGGGGAATAGAGATCTTGGAGATATTAAGCTCCTCCTATGCATTCAGTGAAAATAAGTAATGAGGAAGACTCAAACCACAGCCCTCAGTAATGAAGAAGGCTCAGTATGATTCTAAGTTATTAAACATCAAAGATGCCACACAGAATTAACCGTAAGGTGTTTGGCTTCAGGAGAAGCCCAAGTCAGACCTGGTTAACAAGGTGATAACCCAACCACAGCCCCAGGAGAGAAGGTTGCCAGCTTTTCCTACTCCCAGATTTCCTATTAGGCAAAGATGGGCTGTGTTTGAGCAGTAAGATGAGATCTAAGGAGCACGAGGAGAGCTCTTTCTGGTGCAGGGACATGAGCAGAGGACCACAGAACAAGACGCACTGCTGAGCAGATCCTCTCTGCGTGAGCAGATCTGCAGAAAGCTAAGGCAGCTTCATGGAATGATGGTCCCTGTGCCATTGCTGTGAGGGATGATGTAGGATGCTCTGTTACTGGAAGAGAAGGATAATTTGGTCACTGAGAGTGGGTACTACTCTTGAACCTGCTTTCTAGTGCCTGTGCTGAACCATGTGATCATGGTGTATCCGATTTTCTCTGGGAGAGTTAAAAGGGAAGAAGAAAGTTAAAAGGGAAGCTGACCTTTTGAGGAAGCACACTTCAAAACTGCAGCCATAGCGGGGTTCCAATGGGGACATGCAAGCCAGCAGCAGACCTTACCCAGGGGCTTGGTGAGTTCTTCATCTTGAAGTCTCAAAGAGCCAAGATCTCAGGTGGAAGGCTCCAGCTGCCATGAGAGCTGTAGCGTTGCTGCAGTAGCAGTTTCTTCAGGCTTTTTGCAGAGGGACGGGATGGATGGTCACAATAAGACCAGTTGGTCTAGGACTCAGGGCTGCCTTCTCTGATCTGCAAGCCTAAATTCAATACCATCCCCAGCAACTTTTCTCCTCCATTACATCTTCCACCAGAGGAACTCAAAATATTGTCTCAGTAACCACTACTAAAATTAACTCATTTTTAAGTCTCTCCATGCAGAGAGAGAGGGACTTTTTTCTGAAGTCGCTGTGTTATGTTGTCATGCCAATGTGACAAAGCTGCTGCTCGATGAGACGCCTTCCCACCCAGCCCTTGCCCTTGCCCAGGCTGCTCCCTCGTGGCCCCTCGTGCATGGTGATTCACCAGCAGCGGCTGGAGCTCCAAGGCTAAGATAGATTGCGATGGAAATAAAAGGAGCGACTTTTACAGCGGCTTTTATTGCCAGCTGGGGAAGTACAATACTGCATAAATAAAATCCATTATGGTTATGACAGCTCTGTGGTCCTTGGAAGATAAATAATACTTTGCACTTACATAGTGCCTTTCATCCAGGAACCTCAGAGCTCTTTGCTTACATTAACGAAGCCTCATGATGCCCATAGTAGGATGGTAAATACAGCACCCCCCCTTATCAGATGAACATACCAAGTCAGAGAGTCAGCACCTTCAGTGCAGAGAGGACAAGACAGCAGCTTGAGTTACACACAGCTCTTCCACTGGCTTGCCTTGGGCAAATAATTTAAGGTCCTTGTCATCTCAGCTGTTTCCAGTAAGGTGGACGTCACCTGTCCCTTCCGCAGCGGTGGCATGGGTTGACTAGCTCGCGGTGGGCAGGCTCAGCGAGTCGCTCATGATGCGGTCGTTGGCTTGCTAGCAGTGTGGTGGCATAGCCCCAGTGGACCTGCCAGCTGTGGCTCGTGTTCCCTTACTCCAGTATCCTCAAAATTATGCTGACCATCATCCCTTTACAGACATTTTTACAGCTGGATTTTGGATAAATATATAAATAAAAAGGAAACAACCCCATGAAAGTGGATGGTTTAGGGGCAGCAGTGTCAGCGGTGTCGTGTTGTGGGTGAATTCCCTATAGATGGTGTATATTGGGATTCACCTATGCAGTGCAGATAGTAGCCCTGTGTGGTTTCTTCCATACAGAAATCACAGATAACGTCGTTCCCTGCTCATTGCAACAGCCCTGAGTGTACAATAAGACTGTGGATTTCCATCCTTCTTTGATAGAGTCTCAGATGTTGCAAGGATGGATGGGAACTGTTTCTTTTACCAGGCTCACATGTTGGGCATACAGCTCTGTCTCACCCTGCCCACTTCCATATCGATGCCTCCTATATCTTGGAGCTGATCGTTAGTTTTCCCTCTCGTTTTACAGGGTTACCATCCGTTGCCTCATGAAGCTGAAATCGCACACACCAAAAAGCTGTTCAGAAGACGGAGAAACGACCGGAGGTAGGTGAAACCCCTTTAATGTGTGTTTTACGCTTCTCTTCTTCATTGCAGCGCTCCCCGCACAGTCGTTGGGCAGTACTGCTGCTTAGCAGCTGCCAGCGTTAGGTTAATGCATGAACCTTCATCTGAGCACTGACATTCTCAAAATGCTAAGTCTGTCCATCCCCCTGGTTTGTCTTTTAGATCTGGGATATGTCCTATGTTGTCCCAGGAGTATATTAAGGACCTCCTCTTCCCTTTATTCCAGCATACCCAAATTCCCGCGCTTGTATTAGAAGAGGCAGCTGGCAAGGTATTATCTGTAAAAGCTTTGAGTCCTTGCCACTTGTTTCCTGTCTTTCGATTGAATAGCAAAATTCGCTGACTTTCAGGGTCTCCTGCAAAGTGGGTTTGCAGCAAGCCTCACGTCTGTCTGTCTGTCTGAAGGAGGGGATGTGCGAAAGGGAGCTGAGTTCCTGTGTCATTGGTGATTTCAATCCACTGAGTTAATTTAATTGGGTCAATGATGTATTTAATTGTGTAAATTGCATATTTAATTATATGAGGGCATCTAGAGTCCTTGACAGGAATCATAACTATAGTTAAATATGAAAATAATTCAGGGATAGGGAGTTGGTTGTACATGCAGCTTTATTTCTGCCGGCGTGTTCTGCTGTGGCTGAGACAACACAACTGGGGCAATAAAGCTTTACTAAAACCAGGAGTTTGCAAAGTTAACGTTGTTGAACAGGAGAAAAGGCGTCCAATCTTTTCTCCCAGGGTGATCTGAAATCTGTGCCTGAGCTGCGATGTCTCATGGGGTAGTTTTCAGGGGAGTCCTGCAGACACCTGTAATATTAGTTGGAGTGTGTCCTTAAATCTGCCCATGACTTCTCGACTCGTGAACAGCCATGATACGGTTAACTCTGTGCTTCGTTTGGTTTTCCTGAATTTTACCAAGCAACCAAAAAACAGCTGAAAAGAGTTTGCTCAGGCATCCTAGAAACATTCTTCTGTGGGCAGGGCGGTTTGTCAGCAGCAAACTCCGTTTTCTCTCCTCTTTGGGTCTCCCTCCTTTTTTCCTGTATGCAGTTTAAAAGGCAATTTAGTCTTGTGATTCAGGGTGAAAAAAGGTCATGTTTCAGCTGGGTTGCAGCCCTATGATCACCAAAACATGGTTAAACCCAAGCTGAAGCCTGGTTGTGTTGCAAGAGCGAGCTCTGTGGGCCTCCTCACAGTGCTGGGCTGGGCTCCCCGACAAATCGCAGCAGAGGTTGTAGCATCCTGCTCCCGTTCTCCCAGCTCACCGAATGAGTCTTCCTCTGATGTCTGAAGAGTTCATGATGCTGAGGGAGAGAGCCAAGGGGTCTCCTGCCTGAAGCCCCATGCCCAAAGCTGTGCTGGACCAGAGCCATGGAGTTGTGTGTTGGTTCTTCCCTCCTGTCTGTAAAACCAGCCAGTCCAAGGGACAATGACAGATGTGTATTTCTTTTCTTTCTCTTTCTGGTCCCTTCAGATAAAACACCGTCAGGCAGAAGCATATAGCCCTCCAGGGCATCCCTGTCTCCAGCACAGATGGCAAGGAGAGATAGCAAAAGAAACTGCCTTGGGCTGGGGTTGGAAGCTCATGGGGTGAGATACAGCCCAGATCAGGTAGCACTGGGATAATATCCCAGGAGGAGAGACAGAAGCTTTAAAACCCAATTGATACAGCATCATGTGGGAGGAGACAGACATGGGACCATTTCAGCCCTACGTACTCACAAATTAAATGAAATGGGAAGAGCAGAGGGGATGCTGTCCTGCCCAAGTCCTGCACCAACATCCATGGTGTTGTCCAAGCTAAGACAGAGATATACTTATTTTAGTTGCAAAATGCTAAAAAAACCCAGGTTAAGGGAGTGGAGTGGAATAGCAGTCTCTTAAATAATTATTTAAGCTGAAAAGGCATGGTCCGATAACCCCCTCTCCCCATGCATGGTTTGATACTGGGGATTTTCAGGGTCCCTATGCCTCTGTGGTACATTTGGGACTAGGAGGGCAGTTTTAGTCCTTCTAGTGCCACTTAAGATGCTCCCAGAGAGCACTCAGTCCTTAAAACTGTTTTCTAGCAGTAAGTGAGGTCCCAGAGTAGTTATTGTATGAGAAAAACATGGTAGAAATAGGGAAAAAAAAGGAATAGAAAAGAAACCCCAGACTGTGTTTGAGCACAAAGAGGTTACAAAGCTCTTCACGCTTTGTTGAAGCCCTGTTATCTTAATGTCCCAGGCATAATTCTGGGGGAGAAAGGCTTCATTTCAGAACCGGTGGAGCTACACAAGTGGTATAAACATCCCTCAGGATGAGATCTTGTGGCCAACAAAACATTTGGGGGTTACGGGCTTTTTGTTTTAAACCTCATCTGGATACAGAGACACTCAAAATTGCAAGAGAACGGATGGGGCATTGGAGGAGGCGAGGTTTGGCAGAGGCTGAGTGAGGCCATTTGGTGGTGCACAAGTTGGCAGAGGGGTTAGGAAGCAGCTCAGGATGCCTGGACCCAAAGGAAGAAGAGCTGGTTTCTTTGAAGGGGTTGGTAGCAGCCAAGGGTGGGAGTGGAGTTGACATGCAGTGGACCTGCAAGAAGAGAGGTTGTCCTTCTCCATTGGTTAGAAGCCGCAAAGCCCTGGCGCAGTTGGGTCTGGTGTTCATGGGGCAACTTTTCACAGAATCACAGAGGTTGGGAAAGACCTGTAAGACCATCCAGTCCAACTGTCAACCCAACACCCCCATACCCACTAGATCATGTCCTCAAGGTCACATTCCTTGAACACCTCCAGGGAGGGTGACTCCACCACTTCCCTGGGTGGCCTGTTTGCCCCTTCTACTGGCGACACTGGGCACTTGGCACTACGCAGTCCCCAAGCCCCCACAGTCAGTGCCTGTCTGTGGTGCACCAGGACCTACCTCATCCAAGAAGGAAGACACATCCCAGGTGACCATGGTGGTCATCCTCCTGCCATGTGCAATAGTCACAGCTCGCAAGTGGACATCCTGCTTGGGTTGCGGAGCCAACTGCCCCTTCTACTGGCGACACTGGGCACTTGGCACTACGCAGTCCCCAAGCCCCCACAGTCAGTGCCTGTCTGTGGTGCACCAGGACCTACCTCATCCAAGAAGGAAGACACATCCCAGGTGACCATGGTGGTCATCCTCCTGCCATGTGCAATAGTCACAGCTCGCAAGTGGACATCCTGCTTGGGTTGCGGAGCCAACCCCCAGGCTGACCTCTGCACAGGTCCAGCCAGCCTTGTCTGCTTGTAGCTGACCTTCAGGTTAGCTGGTGCTTTATATAGCACAGCTATTATAAAAGAGCTGATAAAGCACACTGGCACCCAGAAATCTGCCTATTTTTTCCAGCTGGTCTTACAAATGATACCGGTTCCTCCCCAGAGTGCATGCGGGCTCCTCCCGTGTCCCTGACGGTGACATTCAGAAGAGGCCACGTCTTGGGCTAGCGAAGCACCTTTTGTTTCTCGTGCGAAATGGCGCTGACGTCCGGCGTGCTATAAATAGTGCCCGTCCCCACTTCCTTCCCGTCACCTTTCCTCGGGAAATGCTGTCACGGCGTTGCAGAGGAGCGTGTCTCACCTACCCTGAGGTCTCTGCTGTGCACCTTCCACTCCCCTGGGCAGAGGCAACCCTATGGGTGTGCAACCATAGGTCTCTCCATGCATATATGATGTTTTTACGTTCCATGAGTCATTTGTCCATGGGACGCACGCTTCATTTTTTGTGCAAGGTAGAAATGAAGAGTGGATTATTAAAACAAGGCCAAGTGCAAGGTCCTGCACCTGGGTTGGGGCAATCCCAAGCACAAGGACAGGCTGGGTGGGGAATGGATAGAGAGCAGCTCTGAGGAGAAGGACTTGGGGTACTGGGGGATGAAAAGCTGGACATGAGCCGGCTGTGTGCGCTGGCAGCCCAGAAAGCCAACCGTATCCTGGGCTGGATCCAGAGCAGCGTGGCCAGGGGGGCGAGGGAGGGGATTCTCCCCCTCTGCTCTGCTCTGGGGAGACCCCCCCTGGAGTGCTGCGTCGAGCTGTGGGACCCCCAACAGCAGAAGGACATCAGGACACCTCTCCTATGATGAAAGGCTGCAAGAATTGGGCTTGTTCAGCCTGGAGAAGAGGAG